GTCTCCGGGATGCCGGGGCGGGTGGGAGCCTGCGGGGCCGGGAAGCGGCTCCCCTCACCGTGTTGCCCGCCGGTCAGACTGACGCGGACCCCACACTTAGCCGGCCGGGCCCTTGGTCCTTGGCAAGTGCCTGTCGGCCCCGCTCTGTTGACGCTTGTGTCAGCCATGGAGGCCTCGGTGTGGGGTCGTGTTGGAATGGATGGAAAATAGGCCAGACCTGCAACTTTTAAAGAGTACAAACACTTAGGAAATCTAACAGTTTAGTGTGTCCTTTGCTGCTGAGGTTCTGAAGTTTTGTCCTCATTGTTTGGAAGATTTCTGCTGAGCCAAGCAGATGAGGAAACACTTGCACTTGAAGCACGGAGCAGCATTGTTGTCTGTGGGTAATTTGGTGGCAAGGTGACTAAGGTTTTGCAACAGAGGTCGAGTGCTTGTGTTTTATATCAAGGGTTAGAGGGTGCGTAAACTGGGCCGCTCTATTTGTGATGAAAGTGTTTTAGTGGAGCATCTAGACACATCACAGCCATTTAAAATGTTTTTGCTGCTTCACTTTTAAATGGCTTGCAGATTGGATGTAGTTGCTTATTAACTTCTGCTCTAAATACATATGTGATGCAGGTGCTTTCCATCCCCATATATGGCAAGAAGCAAGCTGAGTCACAGTTGTTCCTAGTGACACTTGTGTGAGTTTGAGCATAGCCACCCTGCCCGCACCTTTTCCCCCTTGCCTTTTCTTAGTGTCCTGGGTGCTGTTATCTTACAAAGACAAGAGGCAGAATAGTGCCGCTTGTTCCTTGTTACTCACCTACCCTCCGTCGCAGTTTCTGCGGTGAGTCTCCAAATTGTACTGAGAGTTTCCTTTAGGGTAGTGTTGTAAACTTTAACCTGATTCGTTCTGCAAACTCTGTCCTGAGTGTCAGGGTACCCTTTGGGATCTTTGTCATTCTCAGCAGTGTTCAGACTCCCCGTTTTTCTTGGATATCTAAAGATGTTTAATTCTGTACTGAGAAAAGTTGGAGTTTATGGTGTCTTTGGGTCAAGCATCCCATAGTCTGGCAGAGGAGAGCGAGGCAGAGGGTAGACTCATAGGTGCTTCTTGCTCATGTTGGTTCGCACACCTGCAGCTTGAGGCAGCGGCTCTGGGAGGGAGGGAAGGAGGGAGCTTTAAGCTCTCAGTTCAGTAGCCAGGAGTTTATATTGAAAACAGCTTGTGCTTGAGTACGTCCCACAGATACGAGAGGTTTCATTGGAGAGCTAGGTTGACGAGCAGTGCATCTTTAGGGCCAGCTGGTCTCTGAAACAGTCCGCCTTTTATAGTCAGGTGACTGGAGGCCACGGAGTGACTTCCTGGGCAGAGTGAATGCCCTGTGGTACAGTAAGTGATGTGCAGTTAGTTGCATTGTTTCTCTGCTGGTGAATAGAAGAAGAGCAAAAGACTAAGATCGTTCAAGATTGTTTCTCACGAAATTTGTATTTCATTAAAGTCCTCAAGTGGCGAAGGGGGGAGAGCGGGCGATCTACTCTGTAGGGAAGCAATAGTGTTTGCTTCTAAAAAGTTCTTAGTCCAGGAGTTGAGGACATAACTATAAGAGTTTCTGCAAGGAAAACATTTAAGTAGAAACCTGCGAAGTTTAGATTCTGATGAGATTTCTGTATTAAACCTTGGGAAGGGTTAGGGTATCTCAGAATCCACTATGAGTAGAATTTCATAAGATGAAACCCAAAGGGACCTTCAAAATCGTCACGTTCTCTCACTTCATAGATAAACGGGGTTGCAGGAAGGGAAGTAGTGTGCCCAAGCCACTCAGCGGGAGGCCCGTCTCGCTCTCAGTGACACCTGACGAACGAATCCTCTGTGCTATGCCCTGTCCTTTTTTCCCTCGCTGCTTGGACTGGTTGACGGTCTGGTGCGGAAGCCTCACAAGGAGGAAGTTGCATCCTGAGAGCGTCCTGGGTGCCCGTTTTCACAGACGGGAGGAGGGGCTCTGCCTGTCCTGCCCTCAGTCCATATGAGGCTGAGGCTGGCTGTAAATGTGCTGTGTTTTAAAATGACTGGACCAAGTGAGGTCTCTGCTGCTGTTCCTAAGATACAGTCCATTAAATCGAGTGAGTTTCAAAGTGCTTGTCAGTCGGACAGGGTTTCCTGTTGGCCTAGGATGGCATCTGTGGGCAGTCATGGTAGCAAATTCAGAGGTCCGTGGGACTAGTTTTCAGATAGGGAAAGGAACTATTTGTAAATTGCTTTGCCTAAAATACATTCATGAGTGTTCTATCCAAGTGTCAGATTTCCAAGAACAAAAGCATTACTCGTGCGGATTAAACTCCGGAGTCCTTCCGCCATTTCTCCCTTGGGTGTTTGCGTTTCTCCTGAGTGGCTAACCTTAACCTGTTGGTGAGACCGATGCCCAGAGACGGGCATTGTAAAGAGACAGGACTGGATTTTTTGTCTTAAAATTACAGGCTAACTCCTCAAGATTATGCTTCATGTATTTTATTAAGAAAACAACAAAAAGCACGGAAGAGGATTTTTGCACTTTTTTCTGTAAAAGGTTTTTGGCTCTCTATCATTTAAATGTTTGAATCCGGTCATTTGGTTACTCTTGCAGCTGCTTTACATGGGCTTGGGGTTCCCCAGGCGTGGTCCAGCGGTTGGAGGCGCCTCACCGGGCTGTTGGGGTTTACCCAGTCCCAGCGCCCTGGGCGAGACATTTCCACGGTGGGATAAAAGGCATTTTGGATGAACTTATTTTACACGTGTGTTTTGCAGCTTGTATTACTCTGTACTTTATGATGCTCTTTCATTAAAGAAAACGGAAGAGCACAGTTTCAACTTTGGTTTTCCTTCCGAGGTTTAAGAGTCACCAGAGTGAAAAGTGTGATATGCAGTCTAATAGAGGAGTTGGCTCTTTCTGGATCGAGATCTAGTGAGACGTTTCTGGATCTAGTGAGAAGTTACAGGAGAAGCTACTACGTCCCTGGAGCGAATCAGGCTGGCAGGTTCTCCTTCATTCCTGCCAGCTCGGTGAGGGCTTCACGGAGGCAGCGGGCATTCTGGGTGGGTACTTAGCCGGGTTACTTAACTGAGTCCCAGAGAAGGGCTGTGACTTGTCTGAAGTCACTCAGCCAGGGCACCCCCAGCTTCTGTGTTCCCATCCAGTATCCTCGCTCAGGGCACTCCCGGGACAGGGTGGCAGGTCTGGGGAGTGGGCGTGGCAGAGATGTGTCCCCCGGGATTTAACATGATGTGAAATCATTTTCAGGCTTTCGTCTTAGTTTTCCTGATTATAGTCAGAACTTTGACTCTATGGATTATATCTTTTTCTTTTTTAGTTCAGATTAAGGAAAGCCTGTTTCCTGCTTCTTTCTGTAAGCGGCATCTGGCTGTGCAAGAGACCGGTCATGCAGCCGCCGCCCCAGGCCGTCCCACCCAGCGTGGTGGGGCCCCCTCCAACCGGGAATCCGCAGAGCATGCTCTGGTCCACCAGCCCGTACAGGAGACAGGTGACTGCCAATGCACCAGTGGCTCCAGTAACTCGCCCATCGCAGCCGGTGACGGATCCGTTTGCCTTTAGCAGACAGGCGCTCCAAAACACATCGCTGGGCAGTGCGTCCAAAAGCAGCCCACCCATTTTGCCAGGCCCAGCCCCACCCATGTCTCTTCAGCGCCCTGGTCTGCCTATGCCTCATGCAAATACTGGGAGTAGCTCCCAAGGACCCCGCGAGCCTCTGCTGGGGCCCCTGTGGCAGCCCAGGGCAGATGCCAGCCCGTTTTCCAGTGTGTCGACCCCTGCAGCACCGCCTGGGCCTGAGATGAACAGCAGTGCCGAGGGCGCCTCCAGCTCTGAGCGTGAGGTTCAGACTCAGCACATTCCAGGAGCAGGTCATGAGCGTTTCCATGGGGGCCATCTGCAGAGGGACCCGCCTGGGACTGACCGACCCCCGAGTGGGCAGAACCTGCACGACGTGGCTGCAGCACCAGCAGCGTCCCTTTTCTTCTCTCAGCCTCGTCAGCAAATGCCAGGGCAGTGGGGGCCAGGAGGCCCAGAGCCCTTGGGTCAGCATTACTGGCCCAGCCCGGAAGGATCCGTCCAGAACATGGTGCCGCAGGCCACCAGCGTTGGCCACTTCCGCACTCCATCCAACCCACACCAGGGTCCCGGCCACGAGCAGCACAGCCCACTGGCGTCTTTACCAGGACCACTGGGCCGTGACGGAAGAGATGAGACACCCGGCCTGCAGAGTGGACACCACACAGGAAGTAACTTTGATCTTGAAAACACGTTCAGGCAGAATTTCAGAGTTGGGAGTACGCGGGCTGGCCAGGAGCTGAGGCCGAGTCCAGGAATGAAGATAGAGCAGTTGCCAGATCCTGCTCCCGTGAACCCCCCCACTCAGGGAAATAGCCCAGAAAGCCATTTGCAGTACCCGCTGGGGCCTGGGACCGGCCAGGCCCTGCCAGGAGCAGACTCGGGTGTGCTCTCCATGTTTTTCCAAGGGGGAGAGACAGAAAATGAGGAGAACCTTGCCTCTGAAAAAACAGGCTTGGCTGGTCAGTCTGACTTTGATGGTGTCTCCCTCGGCCCTGGACTTGGCCACCCTCCTGCGTACGTGGGAGCAGGCGGCGTTTATCAGGCCTTTCTCAGCACCTCCAACAGTGAGACCACGCAGCGGGGAGGAGACACACAGCCTTTCTTCCCTCAGTCTGCAGGCATCCAGCACGATCAGCCAGCCACCGAGAGAGCCGTTGTTGACGTCTGGGGCGACACAGCAGGTGCGAGGACTCGGGACGCTGGCAGCTCGCACTATGAGAACGCTGAGAACTCAGAATTCACTCAGAATCAAGAGGTTCTGCCACGCGAACCCCCGAGTTTGGACCCTTCCTCCCCAGGCGATCAGCTCAGATACGGGCCCCTTCCCGGGCCAGCCGTCCCCAGGCGCAGTGTTGTGGGCCATGCTGGAGGTGAGGGCCCCAACATTGAGGCCCTGGATGCACCGCTGCACCCCGTGCGATCCGATAGTGTGTCTTCCAGTTACAATGGCAGGAGCCACCGGAGCCATCCAGGTGTCTCCAGGCCCCAGGACCTGGGCACCTTCATTCAGCAAGAAGTTGGGAAACCTGAGGACGAGGCTTCAGGGAGCTTTTTTAAGCAAATCGACTCTTCTCCCGTGGGAGGCGAGGCAGATGAGGCCCCTGCTAGCCCGGATTACCACGGCAGCCTGGCCCAGCCCTCAGCCCCAAGCCCCCCAAAACCCACAGGGATATTCCAGACGAGTGCAAACAGTTCTTTCGAACCAGTGAAATCCCACTTCGTTGGAGTCAAACTGGTCGAGGCAGATCGCGCCAACATGGTGGGCGAGCTGAGGGAGACCCGTACCCACCAGAGGCAGCCCAGACCGGCTGCCGCGCCGCCCGACAGCTGCCCGGGCAACCTGGAGCAGCCGCCGGACAACATGGAGACCCTATGCCCAGCCCGGGTCTGTTCTCCGCGTCTGAGCACGCCCACGGAGGCCGGCCATGGGCTGCCGCACGCTGGGGGGCCGCCATTGGAGACCGTGCCCCTGACACCCGAGAAGAGGCCCATGACTAGGGCCCATGGAGCCGCGAAGTGTGAGAGCCCAGCGACGACGCTGTGGGCGCAGAACGAGCTGCCGGACTTCGGAGGCAATGTCCTCCTCGCCCCCGCCGCGCCCGCACTCCACGTGCCCGCGAGGCCGCAGTCCTCAGAAGTGATTCAGCCTCCAGATGAGGGGACAGCCGACCCGCTGTCCCGGCCGCCGGGCTTCCTCCCGCCTCTGCAGAGTGGCGACGGCATGGGCGCGTCTGAGAACCTCGAGAACCCTCCCCAAATGGGAGAGGAGGAGGCCCTTCTGTCGCAGGCGAGTTCCGGTTATGCCAGTCTGCTGTCCTCGCCGCCCACCGAGTCTTTGCAGAATCAGCCGGTCCTGGCTGCCCAGCCCGATCAGAGCTGTAGCCCCGCTCAGCCCGTCAATCTCTCTGTGTCCTCGTCGACTCCCACCGAGAAGGCTCGGTCCCACAGAGATGCTTGGGCAGGAGACAGAGCCGTGGTGAGCAGCCGGGCCGTTGGTGGTGATTCCGGAGAAACCGCTCTGTCTGGGCTTCCGGCCAGCTCCCAGGTCTCCTCCCCTCTGCCTCACAGTCTTACCCAGAGTCATCGTCCCCAGGTTACTGGTACACCTGAAATGGCTTCCACTCAGCCTGCTAATTTGCTGGTTCATCCGCCCTCTCATCCAGCTCCAAAGAGCTTGCTTCTAGAAGCTCAAAAGATTCACAGTGCAGAGACTGCCCTTCCAGAGTTGCTTACTAGCCCTGCTGGGGACACAGGTGTGACGTTGGTGCTGCCCGCCAACGCCACCTCGGGGCCGCCCGGTCACAAGGCAGAGCTCCCCAGTAACCGGGAAGAGACTCCAGGAGCCCTGGACTCCGCAGCCCCCAGGACGTCAGGAACTCCCGTAAGGACGGAGAGCTCGCCCCATTCCGATGGCCCCACTTCTCACCAGCACCCCACTCCCAGTCAACCCAGGCGGCCTGGGCCACCTAACCCAGACCATTTCTACCAGCAGGTGACGACAGACGCTCAGGACCAGCGAGGCCTGGAGAGAGCCCAGCAGGAGCCAGCGCCAACTCCCCCGCAGGGGCCCAGAGCAGCGCTTCCAGAACCTTCACACCCAAGGAGTCCGCCAGCGCAAGGCCGACCCCCAGACTCAGCCCAACTACCAGCGAGTCTGGCTCCAGCTGACACGAGCCAGCAGCTGTTGCCACGGCCGCCTCAGTCCTCCAGCGCCTCGGCCGTGTCCAGTAGTTCAAGCCAGGCAGCAGTGCGGTCGGACCCGCAGTGGCTGCCGCAGCCAGCCCCGGACTTGGCACCCTACTACTATCATAGATCCTTTTACGACGGTTACCAGCCCCAGTACCCCTCGCCATACCTGCCAGACCCTGGCACCACCCCCCTCTACTACCAGGTAAGGCCGGACTCCAACATTCGAACCCCTGAGCGGCGGTTTCTTGCACATGTGTGCCTTGGCAGGGCTCGGTTGGGTGGACTGAAGTGAGCCGTAGTCTGCCGTACAGGGTGCCAGCGCCGCGTGCGGCCTCAGCCACCCTGCCAGGTGGGCCCGTGTCCAGTGTCCGTGGCACGCATTAGCGCCCTGCACGGTGTAGGATACCTGCTGAGTTTTGTCCAACACCGCATCCCCCACCTGCGTGACGGGCCCTTTGTTGGCTGTTGCACCTGTCAGTGGTCTGCAGAACCAGTTCTGGCTGCATGCTTTGAGCAGCGAGGGCAGCCACTTGAAACTTCTGTGGGGACCGGGAGAAGCAGTGTCTAAAGGCCCTTGCGTGGCAGAGTGAGGCCCGCGTGCTGCACGGGAGGTTCCTCCTGCCGCTCTCCGCGGTGGGCGCTGTGAGGTCACGAACATCGTCTAAATTAGGTTCTGATTTAATCTGCGTTTATTTGAAAAACGATGGACACGTTTGGTTATGTGTTCTCTATCACGTTTAGTCCGGGCCCAGCGTCGCCCGAGGTCCGCCGAGGCGTTGGGACTATGGGCTAGGGAGTTTGATAGTCACCGACTTACAGCGGGCGGGCGGGGCCGGCGCTAAGCTCGGCTCTCGTAGGACATTTCTGTCCCACGGTCCTTGGCACACCATCATCTGTGTCACGTAGAACTGCGCTGGTCTCCGAGAGGGCTGGCTCTGCATTGGTGTCTAACGTGGCACACACCTGTCTTCCCACAGGACATGTACGGCCTGTACGAGCCCAGATACAGGCCCTACGACAGTGCGACACCCGCCTACGCTGAGAACTACCGCTACCCTGATCCTGAGCGGCCCAGCTCCCGGGCCAGCCACTGCTCAGACCGGCCGTCCGCCAGGTGATTGACGTGTGTGCTGCTGGCCGCGGTCGCGTGGTCGTGCATGCGTAGGGGAGCACGCGCGCCTGTTTGCCGTGCCGATGTATCGGCAGTGTGGACAGGTTGTAGGCTGTGTTTTTAATTTGAGTTGAGCACACTGCCATGCAGTCGTGGTCATGTTGCCAGCTAGTGTTTGATCAGGCAGCCCCTGCACAGGGCCACCAAGAAGACACCACGTGGGGCCCACGCGCAGCATCCGTGCGCGGGCCGAGTGATTATCCCGCCACTGAGGCATGCGCAGGCTCTGGAGGCGGGCTGGCTGGCCGAATGTCTGGAGTCCTTAGGCTGCGCAGTTTTTCACCCGCGTCGCCTCTTCCCGCTGCCGGTCACGCAGATCCCACGGTTCTTAGGCCAGGCGGGCTGGGGCCGGAACACAGCTGGCACCTGGGCCCAAAAGCCTACGTCCTTGCCCACCTCCTGTGCCGGCGCCTGCGGACGCCTTTGTCCCACTTCTAACACTGATGTGCCTCGGTTCGTGATTACAAACGAGGCGTGTCAAGAGGGTCTTGGCGTCCTGCCTCTGCCCGTAAGGTCAGCAGGCCAGAGTCCTCCCACTCAGCTGCTGGTGGAGTCAGAACGAAGGGGGCATGAGCTTGCTCGGCTTTGCCCGCCTTCCAGAGCCTTCAGCCACAGCTGCTCGTGGTCAGGCTGGAAGGAGACGTTGCACCAGTGTAGGTTGTGCTGTGAGGGACTGTGGCGTCTTAAACTTGGAGCAGGGATGGCCTGGGCACTGATGAGGCCCTGGCACCCCAGGTTCTTCAGTGCCTGATACTTGCCGTGAGCCAGGGCTGACCTCTCCGCGTTGCTCCGGAGGGACGCGCTCACCCGCGTGCGGCCCAGCGTTTTTGGTGCTTTAGGCGAGAAGGTTCCCAGGGTTTTAGCACCTGTGTATCGCCATATCACCTGGGAAGCAAGGTTTGGAGTCAAAGCAAACGTGTTACTTCAGGGAGCCCAAGAGGCAAGGGAGTGTTGGGGAGGGTGGGCCCGGGCATCTTGCCGTCCTGGTCCCCTCCACCTGCACGTCATGTTCTCATCAAGAGGCCAGAGCTGGCTCAGTATCGAGAAGGCACTTAAAAAGAGGCTGGGTCAGTGCCACATGCGTGGCCGTCACCCTCACCCGCAGTGCCACATGCGTGGCCGTCACCCTCACCCGCAGTGCCACGTGCGTGGCCGTCACCCTCACCCGTAGCGTTCCCATTATCTAAGTGTCACCACTTCCTCGTGACAGCTCCGGAGAATAACCCTCCCTTTCTGGCCCCACTCTGTTTGGAGAGTGCGTGTGCACACGTGTGTGTGTGTCCACCTGGTGTTTAGCGTCAGCCTGTCTTCCCTGTGCCCACGCCACTGTGGGAGCTGCCCGTGCTGGGGTGGACCTCTGCTTTTTGTGATCGTGCCTTTCCCGTGCTGAGCGGGTGCTGGGGCGGTGAGGAGGTGGCCCGTTCTCAGTCGCACGCCGTGGCGGCCACTCTCCGGGGCCCACTGACCCGTGTATGACACGCTCAGGGCGCGGACGAACGCTGTCTGTGGCGCTCCCTGCCCAGGCCCTCGGGTGGCAGATGCTTTTCCTGTGGCCGAGCAGCCGGACACCTGGCCCCAGGGCCGGGCACTTGCTCCGAGGGCCGTGCCAGCCAAGCCCCAGGCTCAGCTAGTGCGACAGGAAGAATGGTAATTTTAAAAATCAAGTCTTGTCTGAAACTTGCTGTGAGAAAGCGAAAACATAGTTAAGCCTCGCCAAGACGCGCGGCACCCCTGGAGGTCAGACCCCACTGTCCCCCCGAGTCCCGCCTCTATGACTGAGTCGGGGCCATCGTGCTCGGGGATGCTGCCTCGGCCAGGCACAGCGAGAGCGCCACGCTGGGCGGCCCTGAGGGGCCCCAGGGCCACACACGTTGACCCACCCGGAGGCCACAGCATGGCCTGTGGGGGGTCTGAAAATCGGCCTCCGGGTGGTTTTCATGTCTTGGCACCTGTCCTGCTCAGTGCGATGCGAGACGAGAACCTGTCACGGCCCCGAGGGGGCGGAGCGCCCCGTGCTGAAGCACGACTTGCGCGTCTGAAGAGAGATCCCAGTTCCAGTTCGCTGTGTGGCAGGGAGACCCGCGCCCTCGCCATCGTGGTTTGGATCTTCCGATTAGAATTTGTCCACAGCCAAAGTGCTTTGACGAACGCCCGTTGCTCTGGGTGTCACTTGTGCCAATGTCACATCGCCAGCCGCAGGTTTTAACCGCACTGTGTGTTTTTCAGGCAAGCATATCCTGAAGGTTACTATTCCAAAAGTGGATGGAGCAGCCAGAGCGACTACTATGCCAGCTACTACCCGAGCCAGTATGAGTACGGAGGTAGGGCCAGGAGCTGCGGACGGGGGCCGCTGGTGTGGCGCGCACAGCCGCGCTCTGCGGGCTTCTGGGTGAAGTGTCCCTGTTATTAGTCTCTGCTTTTGCCTCAAAACCGAAGCAATCGAGAGCAGTCTGCCTCTGGAAGCTGTGTTGCCATTTCCCGTTAAGAAATCGCGTGTGAATCCCAGCACCGATGCGCCTTTGCCACGTGGCAGTTCTCTCGGACTTTCTAGCAGACGCGACTGTTAGTCTCGGAGCGGCCCTGCCCACCTGTGCTGATTCCAGTTGATGGAAGTGGGTGAAGGCAGGCAGCAGCTCTCGGCTGCAGTAGCTCGTGTGACGTGCTCCGTGGCCACACATAGCCGGTGGCTCCAGCACTACAGGGTGTCCTGCTCGGCGGCATGTCCCCGTGCACCCTGTTGCCCGCCGCCGGGCCTGCAGCCCTGCGCTTCTCCCTAGCAGCTGCCCACTTCCATGTCCACAGGCCTCCATGTCCCCTTGTACACCGGCACCCCTCCACACACAGTTTCTGCGTACGTTTGCCAAAAATGGTTCATTTGGTAGAGGATGAAGTTCAGGTAATTTAGTTTTGACAGTATTTCTTAAAACTTTCTGGACTATGTTAGAAGAGATGTGAGTAAAATTTAGTTATGGGATTAACTTAAAAAGTCCCGACAAGGTGAGATTAATAAAGATGTCGGCTTTTCAGCAGTTTGTTTTCTTCTTAACATACAGAGACTGTGACAGCCAGTGGCCACGAGGTGGTGTTCGCACAGCAGGACGCAGCCAGGGCCTCCAGGGTCTCAGTCGACACCCAGGCCCTGCTGACTTTCGGGGGAACGTGTGGGTCCACAGGGAGCCGGGAAGCACTCTCCAGCCCCGGAGGTGTGCTGCTCCAGTGCAGGCAGCGTCTCCTGCGTGCCGTGTTAACCCGTGAACTCTTCGCCCGCAGATCCAAGCCACTGGGATCGGCACGCTTACGGTTCTCGGCTCAGGGACCCCCGCTTCTATGACCGCAGGTACTGGTATGACGCCGAGTACGAGCCGCTGGGGAAGGAGCAGTACGCCTACGCTGACAGGTGGGTCAGGTGTGCTTCGCCCGGGGTGGGGGGGCCTGCGTGCCCGCACGTCTCTGTGACCCGCGCACTGCAGCTGCGTGCGGGAGCCTGCCGAGCCGCCGGCCTGACAGCGCTGTGTGCGAGAGGAGGGACTAGAGCCTTCTGGTGTGTCCCACGTCGGCCGTGGGCAGAGGGCCGGCTTCAGAATGGGAGCCCGGGAGCCGGGTGCCCTCCTCGCTCCTCATGTCTCGGTGTCCCTCTGTGGGAGGCGTGACCACTGCCCATACGGGCGTGTTCCTGAGTCTCCAGGCTCTGAACTTGGGTTTGGCTGTCGGCGCCTCCGCTCGAGGGCAGGCTCTGACTGGTCTTCTCAGGGTCAGGCCTGGGAGGGGCAGAAGGACGTGGGGCCATGAGGGCCTGGTGGGGGCTCAAGTCTTGAGGGGCTTTGTGTGTCATGCCCAGGATGCCCCCCAGCGCCCCCTTTCTGCCTTTGCTCCCTGCTCCCTCTAGGCCTGGGAAATACGACCACTGGAGGTACGACCCTCGCTTCACAGGGAGTTTTGATGACGACCACGAGCCCCACAGGGACACATGCGGGGAGGATGCGGACCGGCGCAGCGTGCACAGCGAGCACTCGGCACGGAGCCTGCACAGTGCGCCCAGCGTGCAGAGCCGCCGCAGCAGCTTCAGCACCCACTCGCAACAGGTGGGTGGTGGGCCACCCCTTCCCGGGCTCGGACAGAGACCCGAAGCCTGGCTGCCCTGCCCGATGACCTGATCCCACCTGTGGGCTTTGTGTCTTTGAAGAGTCAGGTTTACAGAAGTCGCAATGTGACAGCTGGTCCCTACGAGGTCCCGCCTCCACCAGGCTCCTTCCACGGGGACTACGCCTACGACACCTACGGCAGCAATTTCAACAGCGCCCCCGGCTTCCCCGAGTACGGCTACCCTGCTGATGGCGGCTGGCCCGCAGTGGAGCAGGGTGCGTGTGGTCAAGGCCTCGCCTGCCTACAGGTGCAGTAGGCGCCAGGTCACAGCACCGGGCGGCCTTCCACGCCTGTGACAGGAAGTGGGGAGCAAGGTGTGACATGGGGACTGGTGGTGGCCTGGCCTGCTCTTCCCTGTGGAGGAAGGACAGCTGTGTGACAGCACACCCATCTTGAGTGACAGGGCTTATCACAAGGGGCTGATAGCATTGCACGGGCTGCAGTTTGGTTCACGGGCCTGAGAGCTGCCCGACCTGTCTGTCACGTCCACTTGGTGTGACTGCCCCATTCCTGGGCGGGGCCTCGTCCTTCGTTTCGCCGGGGCCCTGCACACGGGTTAGCAGCCTTTGGAGGAAATGTCTGATTTCCCTGGAAACCTGGTCAGAGCCTGGCCACATTCTCAGTTCTTCTTTAAAACGTTAGAACCGATACTGTTTCCTGGAAACTGCAGGAGCACGTTTGACGTTCTGAGACGCGATGGTGTCCTTTCCTTCTTAAAGCAGCATCCAGTTAGAAATCTTCCTCTCTTTTTGATTTGAGGCGTCTCTGTCATCCTCGCTGGACGCTGTGACATAGACCGGAAGCTAAGGGCACACAGGGCCCCGAGCGCCAGGGAGCACTGTCACATGCTTCCCAGTGGGTCTTCAGAGGAGCTTTTTCGGTTTGGAAGAGGATAGTTCTCGTTTTTAATGATCTGAACTTTTTCTGACACACGCGCGTAGCTCCTGCTTTTTGGCGGGCCGTCCAGCAGCCGAGAGTTGGTCGTGGGAAGTCCGGCTGGACAGCACCCTGCCCTTGGGGCCTCCACGCTAACGGTTTCCCTTTCCCTTCATTTAAACGTAGTTCCGTCAAGACCCACTTCTCCTGAGAAATTCTCCGTGCCTCACGTCTGTGCCCGGTTTGGTCCCGGGGGCCAGCTCATTAAAGTGGTCCCCAATCTGCCTTCAGAAGGACAGCCGGCCTTGGTGGAAGTCCACAGCATGGAGGTGACCCCGCCCGTACACTCTGTGCCTTGCATTTGTCATCTTTCACTTGTGCTTCGTCGTCTCTGAGAAGACGGCCTTGCAAAATGTCAATTGCTGTGAATCTTCAACTGCCAGATTATTTCTGTCCTGTTTGCTCCTGTGTCTTTTCTCCCGGATGCCGGCACGTTAAGCCTCTGCTTTGGGTGCTGTGTTCAACTGGGTTTTCTTGCCTATTGGTTTTCTGTCTGTATTTGCATTTCTGACTTTGTGGGGAGGACCCTGTTCATGCTTGCTCTACTGGTGATTTTCGGTAGTGGGTAGAGGTGGGGAGGGGGTGCCCTGGGGGCTGGTGTGGGCACCCTGTTTCCCAGCCCCACAGCCCTCCTGTCGCGCATGTGGGGGCCTTGCTTCAGAGCTTGGTGGGGAGAATGGATTTGACCGCCCAGAAGTGTGACAATCCCTCTGCTGACCAGATGTGGCTGTGCCCGTGGTGGGGCATCTCAGCCCCCTCGGTGCAGAGTGGGCTGGCAGCAGAGGTGCCCGCCCCTGAGCTGCCCTCTGTCCCTCGCCCGTTCTCGCAGACGCTGCTGCAGCACATGCCGGAGCAGGACGAGATGCGGTCATTCCCCGGGCCTCTCGGCAAGTACGTCCCTGCCCCAGCACCCGGGCCGCTGTCTGGAGGCGGTGGCCGCACCTGGCCGCATGGCCGTGGTTGTCGCCGTTCACTGAGTGCCGTTCTTGTTTCAGAGACGACACCCATAAAGTGGATGTTATTAATTTTGCACAGAACAAAGCCACAAAGTGTTTGCAGAACGAAAACTTAATTGACAAAGAGTCTGCAAGTCTCCTTTGGAACTTTATTGTTCTGTTGTGCAGACAGAATGGGGTACGTGTCTCTTTTACCCTTAGAGCAGCTCTTCTGTGGGCCTCGAGTCTCAAGCCCTTGGGCCCCGAGTTGGGCAGGGTTTCCGTGCCGGGCCTGCGTGGGGAGGCAGAAGACGGGGAGGGTCTGCATCTGGGGCGGGGGAGGTTCGGGCTCCCGTGTTGGTCTTTTGGAGGGTCTGGTCTGTCCATCTGGCTCCTGGCCGTGTTGGGAGTGGCACTCTGTCCTCATGGTGGCCGCGTGTGCCCGCCTCAGGAGACCCGTTGGGGGTCCTTACCTGAGCGGGGCCTGGGCGAGGCCCTGTTTGCAGTGAGTACCCCGTGATTCTTCCTATCCTCCCCCTGCAGACCGTGGTGGGGACAGACATAGCGGAGCTGTTGTTACGGGACCACAGGACAGTGTGGCTTCCTGGGAAGTCACCCGACGAGGCCAACCTGATTGATTTCACCAATGAAGCCGTGGGGCGCGCAGACGAGGAGGAGTCCGGGGAGGCCCAGCTCGCGTTTCTCACTGACACGCAGGCCACCGCTGTCGCGGGCACGCTGGAGAAGGACACCGAGAGGTTCAGAGAGCTGCTGCTCTATGGACGGAAGAAGGTAGGCCCCTGAGCCCACGGGGCCACCGGTGGGTCCCGGCGTCCACTGGGCAGGCTTGGGGCGCGGAGCAGCTGGACGGGCGGAGTGCAGTTGGCTGAGCACGAGCGCCTTGGTGCCATTGTGTACAAGCTGCCTGGCCCCGCGTACCGTCCCTGGAGGTGGCGTGGGCGGCATCTTGTAAACATCGCCACGGTCGAAGGCCTGCAGGTTCGGTGTCATTCAACAAATGAATGCATTTCTCGAGCTCAGGCCGTGCCCTGCCACACATGGCGCGTCTCAGGGACAGATGCGTGCCAGAGAGGGAAATGGAGCCTGTTGTCCCAGTTGGGGCCAGCTCAGGATCTCTGAGCGAGTTGGGTGCTGGTAGGCGTGGGTGCCCCACAGGGACCGGTCAGAGCAAAGCACGTGCCAAGGCTTGCAGGCGAGAGGGAGCGCCGGAAGCCACACACAGTTGGGTGCTGTGGCAGTTCACAGGGTTGTGCTGGGTGCCGGGAGGGGCGCCCCTTATGCTGTGGGCACAGGCCGAGCGCGTGCCCGGCTCAGGCGGCAGGGGCCTGACAGGCCCAGAGTTACTTAGAAAACAGCTAGTCAGAGTGTTCTGAATTACACCTCAGATTATTTTGGGTCCAGGGAGGCTGTGTCCCCATTGAAAGGTGCTAGTGGTGGCCTCACGTCATTCTGGAGCTGAGGCGGGAACATGCAAGTGGCATTTCTCACAGGGGAAAGGACCATCTGGGGATGGTGGCGTTGCCTCCCCGTGGTCCCTGCCTCTGGCGCACTTGCTCTTTATCCTGCAAGTAGATGGTAAGAGGGAGGTGCGGGGACCTCCCGCCACGGGGACTTTGCACTAGAGGGAGCAGTGGCAAGCGGCTTCTTTCCAAGTTCTGAGCTTCGGGGGCTGATGAGTCACGTGTGTCTTCACCGCAGCTGAGTCCCTTCTTCTTCCTGGTGGTGCGTGACAACACGCACTCTGCCACTGCTGGCTCACGTCACAGGAGGTAAACTGATGACTCGGCTAACGCAGAACTGCTTTGCAGGATGCTTTGGAGTCTGCGATGAAGAACGGCTTGTGGGGCCACGCTCTGCTGCTTGCGAGCAAGATGGACAGCCGGACGCATGCCAGAGTCATGACCAGGTAGCGTGTGGCCAGGCTGGCTGTTCGTGGGCAGCTCAGGCTGGTTCGGTCGCAGCCTCGGGAGCTTGTCGAAGCGCACAGGTGTCTGTAGTTGTCAGAAAGCTGAGGACGCCCACTGCTCCCGGTGCCGTCACGGGGACGCGTTGCCCCGGCCCTATAGCCGCACAGTCTTTAATTCTGTAAACTCTCAGTGGGTTCCTTAGTCTTCACATTTTATAGCGTTTTTAAAGAGCTTTTCGTTAACACGCAGCTCATGTGCCACGTGGTCCCAGTCCCGGGTGCTCGGCACAGCTGCGCAGCCACGTTTACAGCTTCTGGTCCCGAGCTGCGTGCGCCTCACCTGGGTCGGCGTCAGCCGGTCTCTCGGGCTGAGACCAGACCAGACTTGTCCTGATTTTTAAACCGAGCCGAGTGAAACGTGGCTCTCGGTGTGTCTTAGGTTCGCCAACAGTCTCCCGATCAACGACCCTTTGCAGACTGTCTACCAGCTGATGTCCGGGCGGATGCCTGCCGCGTCCACGGTCAGTGGGGTCGCCCGGCACTCACGGCTGCGCTGCATTGGGCGCTGTCTCCTGGGCAAGGCTTCATCTCAGGATGAGACCCTTGCTTCCCGCCACGCCCACTGAGCCCATTGCGAATGGAGGTGGCGCCCTTCCCGGGGTGAGGGTGCGTTGCTTCCGTCTGGTTTCAGTGCTGCGGAGACGAGAAGTGGGGGGACTGGAGGCCACACCTCGCCATGGTCCTGTCCAACTTGAGTAACAACATGGACGTGGAGTCCAGAACGATGGCCACGATGGGCGACACGCTAGGTGGGTCGGCGGCAGGCCTGGGAGCGGGCGCTGGGTCGTGCTGCCGTGGGGGGCACGAGGCCCGCGTTCCTCTGCGTGTCCGGCGTCTGTGTTCGCGTTCTGTCCTCTCGGGCGGAGCCCGCTGACCGAGCCCGTTCGTGTGTCCAGCTTCGCGAGGTCTCTTGGACGCGGCGCACTTCTGCTACCTCATGGCCCAGGTCGGGTTTGGGGTTTACACCAGGAAAACCACAAAGCTCGTCTTGATCGGCTCGAACCACAGGTGAGCAGCATCGGTGCCAGCGGTGTCTGTCTTCCTTGAGGGACGTGTCCCCCCCACTAGGCCCGCCTAGGGTAGCAGCCTCGCGTCGTACCACGTGGCGTGACACGCTCAAAGATGAAAATAGCTCATTTCCTCAACAGTTTGCCGTTTTTAAAGTTTGCGACCAACGAAGCCATTCAGCGGACGGAGGCCTACGAGTACGCGCAGTCCCTGGGGGCGCAGAGCGGGCCCCTGCCCAACTTCCAGGTGAGCCTGCGACCGCGGGGCGCCGCCGACAGGCGGCCAGGTTTACGGACTCCTATCACTTGGTCACCTGCTCTTGGAGACGTTTCAGCTTTGCAGTGCTCGAGAATAAACCCTGTGGAATGGAGGGTTTTGTTTGTATTTAGGGTCTCGCTATTTAAGTATTGGAGTTTCTGGTACTTGGTTTTTAGTAGCTGTTCTTGCATCGAGGGGAGTGGGTGTACGTGTGAGTGTGTACGCACTTGCACACTTGCACTGTTGGGTGCTAGTGGAGCGTGGCTGTGGACCAGTTTGCAGTCGCAGGGGAGGCGGTCCGCGGTCCAGAGTGCGCGTCAGATCTCTGCGTCCCTGGCTGCGCGCCCCGTGGCTCTGTGACAGGCAGTGCTGAGCAGGGGTCAGTTTCTGAGGAATTCGGGTGCTCCTTCGACCTGAAATATCTCAGAGTGGGGACTGGTGCCATTGTTGGAGCTGGGGACACCCACGAGATACAGGACATGCGGAACGATCTCGCCTGGGGGCTGTGGGGCCGTGAGGAGGGGGTGAGCCGTGAGACAGCCCGGCTTTGTGTGTTTTAGGTATTTAAATTCATCTACTCCTGCCGCCTGGCCGAAATGGGGTTCGCCACACAGGCCTTTCATTACTGTGAAGTGATTGCCAAGAGCATCCTGCTGCAGCCCCGCACGCACTCCCCCGTGCTGGTTCGCCAGCTGGTTCAGGTACTGTCTTCCTGCGTCTCCGTCCCTGGCATGTGGCTGCCGGGCTGAGCCTGGCGCATCAAGAGCTCTGGGCGCAGGGCTGAGGGGGTCATATGGGCAGCGGGCCAGGCTCGTGGAGGCATGGAGGAGCCGAAGTGTTCCAGGGCGGGCGCCTGGTGATTCGCGGTTTAGCACAGGAGATCTTTAGCTGTCTCACGCCGGCACAGAAACAGCAGAAGCTTCAAAGTAAGAGGAACCCCGTCTCCGGAAACGTCTGTGTCGAGGCAGTCTAGTCTTGCAGTTTATGGCGTGTGCCTTCACACTCCAGCTGCCTGGCTTTGGGGCCTGGTGGCCCATTGCAGGCCTCGTTTCTTGCTCTGTAAAATGGGGACAGCGTGACTGGCCTCTGAGAGCTTTGCGAAGGAGAAGGGCGGACAGCGCCCAGCACCAAGTGCCACATCGTCACGTACTCCGTCTCCCCAGGGGGTTCATTTCTGAAAACGTGCTCATGTGACACCTCAACGAGCTTCTTACTGTGGAGGTTTTTAGGTATAACAAACAGTACTTAGTAAGCCCTCGTCCTCGTTCCCAGCTCCAGCGGTCACTAACACAGGGCCCACCCGCTGATTGCCCATCAGGGTCTGTGGTGGGTGAGGCCCTGTCTGCAGGGTCAGGTGGCAACTCCGGGGCGTCCGGGCACTGCTGGCCCCACGTGGTGACTCTGGAGGCCAGCCCATGGGCTGTCGGGTCCCAGGCTCGTGTCCTGAGCACGCGGCACCCCACGTCAGCACGTGGGGCGCGGGACAGCTGAGGCCGCTGATCCAGACAGAGTCGCCATTTGACGCTGAGGCTGCGTTGGTCCCAGGTCAGAGCAGGTTTTGGATACCGCTGCCCCCGTCCCTGAGTGACAGGCCTTCGTTTCTCGCACGTCCAGCTCGCGTCCCAGCTGCGACTCTTCGATCCTCAGCTGAAAGAGAAGCCGGAGGAGGAGGCCTTCGTGCAGCCGGCGTGGCTGTCCCAGCTGCAGCACTTGGAGAGGCAGGTGCAGGTACGTCTCTGGCTGTCGGTCCGAGGGAGACACTGACGAGGTGGCTCGTGCCCTCGTGGCTGTCATGCATCATGTTGGTGTGAACAGCACAGTTTTAAGGGTGCGTGTGTGTGCCCCATTCTGGGGAGAGGTAGGCTTTCCCGGAGCCCAGCACAAGTGTCCCCCACGGCCTTGGGCTGCCGGGAGGGCCTGAACTACCTCTCCCCTAGGAGGGCGCCGTGCCGCAGAGCCCCGACACGGCCTTCGCCCAGCGCCCTGCCTGCTCGCTGAGCCCCGAGCTGGGACAGTGTGACGGCCCAGGACTCACACCTCCCTTGGGCCTGGGCGCTGACAACCCGTTGCTGGCGCCACCTGTGCCGGCCACTGAGTGCTCTGGCCAGGGCCTGCGGCTGCTGCCCTCAGGTGAGCCGCACACCCCTCCCCAGACGCCTGCCTCCTGGCGTCTCCTGTCCCCCGCTGTCACTCCACGGCGAGTCCGTAGGGGGGGTGGCCTGTCGGACCCCTGGAGATGGGGGACTCAGGGGACACAGAGAGCTGTGCACCTCGTAGCCGCTCACTGGGGTGTGCCGGGGGTTAGGACCCCTGCCCCATGTTGCGTTTAACGACGTCTTCCCTTCTGCCCTAACAAGTGCATGTTCACTTTTCCCCGAAGCAGGTGTGTCCTGGCATCTTCGACCCTTTCTGCTTTGGTGATCGGTTCTCCTATCTCTTAATGAGAAATGTGTCCGTTTAGAGTAGCATGTAATAAATTATTGAGTCACCACTAGCAAACTGCTTCAGGTGACAAGAAAGCCTTGCCAACCTGACTGTTTTTTCCCTCCATCATCTCCATGCAGCTCCGCTGACGCTCCCCGACGGCCCGCCAGCCATCCCTGCCAGGGTGCCAATGTTCCCAGTGCAGCCACCCCTGGGCTCTGTGGAGCCGGGGCCTGGCTGCGGGTCCCCAGGTTCTGCACTTGGCTTTGCAGAGGCCCCCGGGCCTGATCCTGCAGCTCTGTGCCCAGGGCCTGGCCTGCCGCCTGGCACGCCGTCTCTCCAGGAGAGTGGACACTGGCTGCCAGAGGCCAGGACCCAGGACCCAGGTGGGTCTGCCAAGGTTCCTCCCCAAGAGCAGAACTAAATGGGTTTCCCGTTCGTGGAGGTGCTTGGTGGAAGAGGCGGAAGTCACTTGAACTTGAAACAAGCTGTGTCACTTAATGTATACCAGAAGCCTAGGAGCTGTAGCTGCATGGGTTAATTGAACATCACTCTAGTTTCTTTGGTGGCTTGGCTTCTTGTTGGATGTGAGTCGTTAGTGGACATTCAAGGCACGACAAGCTGGCCTTGTAGTATGGCCAGGCTGACACCTTGTCAAGTGTGCAGGGGGCTGTCACTCTCCATCTGGAGCCAGAGTTGGTGGTTCTTGTCGCTGATCTGTGCCTCGCTGTCTTTGCCTGCTTGGACGAAGCAAAGTAGAGACTTTGGGAAAGAAGCTGCACGTGTTTGGGGACATGTTTGGGGATGTGTGCGGGTTTCTGACGGCAGTGCGGGGCGTGGCCGTGAGCTGAGCTCCCTCCTTTGCCCGCAGCACCGCGGTCACACGCTCTCTCCCACCACAGGGCCAGCGCCACTCGGAGCGCCCGGCGGAGACTCACAGGCGGAGCTGAGAGACGAGGATTTTGGTGGAAAATTCGATAATATGGTACTCGATCTCCTTTTAAGCTGCTTGTTTTTCATAAATTTCATTGATTAGGTACCTAGACTCCTCATTCACATTGCAAGTAGACAGAGAACACTGAAAATTAGGAAATTATTTGTTAAATTGTCTATGAAAAAGGGACTTGTAAAATAGCTCGAATCCTTAAATTACGAAGGTTTAGTGAAAACACGAATGGGGGAAGGTAACTCCGTGTAGAAAGAGGGCCACGAAGGCCCCCCTGTAGCGAAACGTTCTTGGTGATTCGGACACTTCTAAAATGATGGAGACCTTCCCTGACGTCTGCAGCTCTGCAGTAGAGACTCTGAAATTTTCCCTCGTTTTCTGGAAACCGAGATTCATTTTATCAGACACGTTTGGTATAAATGCATCTCTGTCTGCTCCGATCCCAAGCAGGAGGGACAAACACTTTTGTACACACCGCATCCTGGAACCTCTTGGATGAGTACCCAGCTCCGTGTGGACACCTGTCAGCCGGAGACCGCTGTAGTTTTAAACTTTGATTATGTACCCTAACATTAAGATACTCTGTCCTTGGAAAAGTTAAGAGGAGACCTTAACTGTATTGAAAGCAGAGCTCTAAGGGCGGGATGAGCGTTGTGCTTTGCAGACGCCCGCGGCCCCACCCTGAGCAGTCTTTCTTCTGTGCTCGGGGCTTGTGCGGCGTCCGTTTCTCCCACCATGTCACCCATTGGGCCCCAGAACTCACGTTTTGAGTCCTGCAATGCCCCTTGATGCCATCTCTCGTTGGATATGGCCTGGTGGTCCTGCAGTCAGCCCCAGGGCCCGGGCTGCCCTCCCGTCCCCGCCTTGCCCTCCGCCCTCCTCACATCACCCGGCCTCTTGGGGAAGTGCCACCGCTGAGCCTGCTTCCACCTTGCCTCACACAGGGGTCTTCGCGGGGGCCGCAGGACTCCGAGGGCCTTCCTGGGTGGGGGGCTGCCAGCCCGGGTGCCCTGCAGCCGCCGGCCATGATGCCCGCTCCCGAAGGGAAGAGCCCCGTGCAGGCAGCCAGGAGAGAGAGCAAGGAGCCCAAGAAGGTAACGCGCAGCCCGCCAGGCGGGTAAGGGGCGACTCCCGCAGGTGACACGGCCCCTGCCTGAGGCAAGGGCCTGGCCACGCAGGGAGAGCACCCAGCTGGGCGAATGCTTGTGTCTGTTTATGCGTCACCCCAGCTCAGAGTCGCAACGGTTCCAGCCTCCCGTGACCCGTCAACACCCCCCAGAGGGTGACCTCGGTTGTGATTTCTGTCACCGTTGTTTAGTTTTGAGCGGAGTCCTATGGGGTTTGTCCTGTGTCATTGCACTGGGTGAGATGTCCTTAAGGTGTCCTCGTGTGTGTTTAGAGTGGTGAGTCCTGGTTCTCTCGCTGGCTGCCCGGGAAGAGGAAGACGGAGGCTTACTTGCCAGACGACAAGAATAAGTCGGTGAGTATCGCCAGTGCGGCACTCGAGGACTCGGTGGGTGTCGCGACGTGTCTGTCAGCGCTGGTGTACACCGTGCGTTCCGGCTTCAGAACGAGCCCAGACGTGTGTCCTGGTGCTAGAGGGGTCACAAGTCATCACCCCGATTCTGTTCAGCTTTACTTGCTGACCCGTCCCTTGCTCTTCCCAATCGTGGCAGATCGTGTGGGACGAGAAGAGGAACCGATGGGTGGACGTCAACGAGCCGGAGGAGGAGGTGCGTTGGAACCGGGGTGTCTGCTGTGCCCAACAGAGGCGCTGCTTCTGGAGGCTTCTGTCCAGCGTGTCTGGGGCCTGTGTTAGCACGTATCTGAAGCCTCTTTTCCTCTGCAGAAGAAGGCTCCTCCCCCACCGCCAATATCGCTTCCCAAGGCGCCACAGGCTGCTGCCCCTGGACCTGGCGGGCTCCCCGGATCCTCTGTGAACATGTTTTCTAGAAAAGCAGGTAACAGTCAAGCCAGAGCTCAGAGTTCGTTCGGACAGTTTACCTGGCCTACAGACATACCCAAGTTCAGTGATCACAGCTCGTGCGTTAAGGGACAGTTTGTCACCTGTGGAGGCCCCAGGTTTACGAAGACATTGCGAGTGAGGCCGGTTCTCTCGCACTGCTGCTCCCCGCAGACCCCCGCAGCAGAGAGGGGCGGGCGGGCTGTGCTGGTGTTGAGTGGACCCGGCTGGGGCTGGCGCCCCGCAAGTGAGCCCTCTGGAGAGGCCGCTCGTCGGCCAAGCTCTCCTGCCGCAGCGAGGAGCCCAGGCCGCTGGGCCCGTGGCCTGAGTGTGCCTCCTCCCCGCCGCAGCCGGGAGCAGAGCGCGCTACGTGGACGTCCTGAACCCCGGCGGGCGCCGGCAGACGGAGCCGGCTCTCGCGCCTGCAGACTTCTTCGCCCCGCTGGCCCCACTCCCCATCCCGGCTCACCTGTGCGGACCCCACCCAGGTAGGCTGTGGGGGTGGGCGGTCTCGGCATCCTGGCCTCCGACCTCGGCCCTCCGAGAGTCGGGGCCTCCGTCTCCCCTCAAAGACAGACGACTGGCTGTTGTGCGAAGGGCCGCGTGTCCCTTCTCCGCGGGGGCACGTGGGACGCTGTCCCTCTTGGGTATCGTGAGTGGACCCCAGAGATGTCTGAGACACGGCAACGCTCCTCCTGCACTGTCTCCCCACAGACGCAGCAGCGGGTGCCGGCGGGGAAGGGCAGGCCCACGCGGAGCCCGTCCCGGAGCCCCAGGTGAGCAGGTGTGGTGGGGCGAGGGGACAAGGCCTCCCTCCCCAGCCCAGGAAGCCGGCCCCGGCTTTGTGCAGTCCGTGTGGGCGGTGTCCGCAGAGAGCCCCGTCTCTGTTGGGCGTCTCTTTCTCGTCGACTGTCCTCTAAGGATTCGCAAACTAAGCGCACACAGGTTAGGTGGCGGTCGCGTCACTGCAGTCATGGAGCGAAGAGGGTGTTTTTTTAAACGTCTGAGGCTTAACGTGGAGTGTAACGGTCAGAGTGTGGTCTGTGAAGCTGGATGGGCCCGGATCCCCACCCTGGCTCCCTGGTCACTGTCTGTGTAAAGGCCTCAGTTTCCTGCTCTGTGGAAGGGGCTGACAGCAGCACCAGGCCACAGGCCACTGAGAGACACAGCAGGTGGCCAGTGCCGGCAGCCACCTGCAGGCACCTACAGCAGGTTCTTCCCACGGCTTCCCTGAGGGGCGCGGGCCTGGAGTAGAGCAGTTTGTAACCTGGGCTGGAGGGCCATGCGGCGTCCCCTGCCCTGCCTGTGTGCGTGTCCATTGTTCTCAGCAGGAGTTAAGCTCTGCCGCTGGGCCCCCTGCTTCGGACCTCCCACCCCACCGAGCGGACGGCCCGCAGGGAGGAGAGGTGAGGCCGTCCGGACGCAGTCCGGGCTGGGGGGCTTTCTCGACCGGTGACCGCTCCCCTTAAAGTGAGCAGGGAGGCGGCTCAGACGCTTCTTAGAGCCGGAAGAGTCGCTGTGTTTCTGGGAAAACGGTCAGAAGCGGCGAGGGGTTTGCGGCCTCGCTCGGGGGCCTGGCGCACGGGGGCCCGCGTGTCTCGGGGGTCGTTCCTTCGTCGCGGCCGCGCGTTCAAGGGAGCCGTCCGCTCCGTCCGCTTTCCCGTCTGGCGCGTGGCGCGCTCCGGGACTCGCCGCCGTGCGGGCGCGGCCTGCGCTGACCCTCTCTGTGCCGTGTTCTCGCTGTTTTGTAGCTTTCGCGCTGTAGTTCGATGAGTTCGCTGTCACGCGAAGTGAGCCAGCATTTTGACCAGGTACCTGTGGCGGCCGTCCCCACCCAGTGTCGAGCTGACTTGGGTCGCCTCTGGTTTCCTTTAAGGGCGCTGTACTGGTTGGTCATCGTGCACCCTGTCACTTTGTCACTGACTTTGCCCATCATCTTACTCAGCCACCACGTGACGGGATGCAGTGTTCCTCTCTTTAAATCTTCTCAAAGGGTGTTAAACGTCCAGATGCACGGACGATCGAATTGACCCCAAATCTCCTACCTAACAGATGTCTGTACTTGTCTCTTTCCTGAGTGGGTTTTCCCAAACGGCCGGTGGGCATGGCCTCGCCCCCCGTGTTGTGGCCGCCTGGGTCAGGACGCTCTCGTTTGAGAGAATTCCTTTTTATGCTCAAACATGAGAAGATTTGTGTTCGGCCAGGCAGTGTGGCGGCAGCGACAGCTGTCCTGAGGCCAGTCTGGCTGGGAGTAGAGGACGACTTCATCTTTTCTGT